GAGAGAGAGAGAGGAACAAAAAAGGAATAAAATAGTACTAATGATAGTAATAACAACATCAACTAAGAATTACAAATGTTCCCCATCAATGCATTTTAGAGAAACTGAAGCTTGGAATATGATGATTTGGGGGTGTTTGCATTGCCAAAAACCTGAAAATTCCATTGGGTATTTCAGAAAAATGCCAGATTCAAGAACTCTATCAATTATAATTTCAGCCTGCCATGATTTAGGGAACCCAAACATTGGAAAGTCTGTTCATTGTTGGGGATTCAAAAGAGGGATTGGGAATGCTCATATTTCTATGTGTAATTCGCTCATTTCATTTTACTTAAAAATCAATGATATCGAATATGCTTGTAAGGTCTTTGAAGGACTGGTTTCTAGGGAGTTGGTCTCTTGGAATTCAATGATCAATGCTTTCATAGAGAATGAAAGAGTTTCAAAAGCTTTTGGCCTTTTGGAGAAGATGGAATCAGATGGTTTCAAGCCTGATTCGGTTATTGTGGTGACTCTAATTTCAGCTTGCTCAAAATCAAAACTATTGGAGCATGGCAAGTTTATACATGGATATGTGATTCGACGAGAATTAGGTTTGGATTTAACTGTGATTAATAGTTTGATAGACATGTACAAAATGCTCTGATGTAAGATCAACGAGGTTGCTTCTTGAAAAGATGGATGAGATAGATTTGATCACATGGAACACCATGATTGCGGGATATTCAAATAATAGATTTTCAAGAGATGCCATGATTCTTTTTCGAGATTTGCTGAATTCAAGTCAAAGATGTAACCTAGCTACTCTAATAGTTGTTCTTTCCTCTTGTGATTGTTTAGAGTCATTTGCATTTGGGAGATTAATCCACTCTTGGGAAATCAACTTGGGTTTTTTACAAAATGTAGCTACCCAAAATGCCACCGTCTTCATGAAACTGTGGAGATTAAGAATCTGGGCTGTAAGTGTTCGACGACATTTCTATGCGAGATGTGGTTACATGGAACACGGTTATAGTTGGATGTGCACAAACTGGATTTTGCAAGGAAGCCTTGGAGACCTTTGACCAAATGCTTCTTATGCCTGTAAATCCTGACCCAATTACCCTTGTGAGTGTTTCTAGTGCTTGTGGGGAGCTCAAACTTCTAAACCGAGGCATATGGGTTCATGTATATGTACTCAAAACTGGACTGAAATTCAATTTCCATCTAATCAATGCATTACCATCTATGTACTGCAAATGCAAGGATATCAAAAGCGCAGAGCTTATATTTGGTAGTATCCCTAATCAAAGAAATCTATGCTCATGGAATTCAATGATATTCGGTTATGCACAGAACAAACTACCCATAAAGCCAGAGAACTCTTTCATCAAATGGATTTCGAGCCAAATGAGATGACCCCAATTCTCTCCTTGCTCATGGAACATTTTTCCAATTTCAAATAATATTTGCAATAAATAAAATGGAACAAAGTCATAGAAGACACACTGATTTTGTAGAGGCTTGCATGCATGTTTTGTTGCTACCTAGAGACCATGAATGGAGTGTGTGAGAGAAGAGAAGCTTGCTGCAAACTGAAATTAGGAGATACAGTAAAAAGATAAAAAAAAGAGCAATAGAAACATCGTATTTTGACTATCTTATGATCATTATAGGGTTCTTATAGAGTTGAGAGGCACGTCCCTATACTCAACTCACTAAGAAGCATAAGAGAGAATCAATCGATGTTAGAATACTTTGATGACACAATCGTGATGACCAACCAACTTGCTGGCTATTGAGAACTCAACCCCAGCATCATTAAATCATAAAACTCATTGTGGATGTTCTAAAAACAAAAAACAAAAAACTTGCGTTAGAATGGTACTCAAATTTTCTAAAAAAAATTGCAAAAGAAAAATAAAAACCACTCCAAAATTTTGCTCTACAATCACTTCATGACTATATCAAAAATCAAAAAAAGAAAAGAAAAAACAACAACAAAAGAGAAAGGAACTAAAACCACCCATTTGAGCGAATGAGCCATCAGTAAAAAATGCACAAATCAAATCAAAATTAACAAAATAATACGATAAGAGAAAAAATCAATTGCTATCAACAAGAAAGAAGAATAAAAGAAAAGGGTTTAATTCACAAATTTCATTTTTGGATATAATCACAACCTTCGGCTTTGTTTTAGAGATCAAAGAATAATATTGGTATTTATTGGTGATAAAAATACGATTTAAACTATGATAAACTGAAATCGCCTAAATTTTTTAACCAAACCCAAAATTTCCTATCCCATATATAGTTTTGTCTTCTATTTTCATTTTCTGTGACTGTGATTTCTTCTCCCGTTTTTTATGATTTATTCTGAAAAAACGTAGGGTTTTATTGGAAACTATCATTTTGGGATCAACGAAAAATTTTGGGTTGGCTTTTGGAAAAAAAATTGGGTCTTATTCTTAATTTAGGGCAACCTAATCTTGAGACGAGTTGTGCATAGGAAGAAACTGGGGAATAAGCATACGCAGAAAGATAGGAATTTCCTTTCTCAAATACAGAAGCCAAACCCTCTGCTCTCTTGGCTCTTTCATACATAGCATACACATCAGCATACGAACCAAGAGCTTCAGTTTATCCCTCATCTGAAGATGAAACCAAATCTTCAGATGAATCTAGCTATGAAACTGATGAAAGAGATGAGAGTTTATTCAAAAATTTTGGGTTGGATTCAAGCAAAGAAAATACACAAATGAGGATAAGATTTGAGGTGTACTCACTTGAATTGATGCCATAGAACTTTTCGTGGTGGAGCTTCAACATTTGTGGCAGCCAAGAAGGTCGAGAGGGCTTCGGTGCCATCTTTGGCAGCCAGATAGATCAAGAGGGTTTTGGAGGTGCCTTTGGCAGCAAGAGAGGAGAGGGGTATCTGTGGTAGAGAAGAGAATGAGCAGAAGAGAGGGGTATGCGTTCGTTTGTAGCACAGAAGATAGCGAGTAGAAGAGAGGGGTAAGGGTTGAAATAAACTTGGGTTTGAAGCTTTTGAGCTCGCGCAGGGGGCTTTTGTTCCATCATCACATCCCTACATTTCGTTAATTTGAAACATACGATGGATAAGACAGAGGTGAAATCACTGTTCCCTATCGCCTATAGGTGTTGGGAAGACTTTTTCGATATATATATATATATATATAAAAAGAGAGGTTTCTATGCTTCCCCTACAGCATAGAAGTTCTATCCTCCCCCTACCATCCAGACGTCCAATTTTGATCAAGAGAGCCACTCACCATTTGATCTTAGATCCGACGTCTCAAAGTATTTTATTTTTAACTTTTTTTTTATACAAATTATATGAATATGAAATTTGGTACGTACCATCTTCTCATGAAATTTGGTACAAAATTTGGTGTCAAAATAGTTTATAGAAAAAAAATTAAAAATAAAAATAGTGTAGAGACGTGACATTATGATTGGGGCAATCTTAGCCCTTCGTTCAGAATGGACGGTTGGATAAGGAG